AAGGAAGGAAGGAAGGAAGGAAGGAAGGAAGGAAGGAAGGAAGGAAGGAAGGAAGGAAGGAAGGAAGGAAGAAAAGGGCCCTACAAATGCCCTGAAGGACTTCAAGTCCCACTAACTCTCAACATTCAAGTCCAAGCTCTACCAAGACAGTGCCCCATGTTGAGCAGAACCTTCTGGGAATAGAATCAAATTGTTCAAGGTAAGAATTAAAGAAGTTAAAGAAAGAGAGGACATAGGTCAATGTGAGGAACACTGAACAGCAAGCAGCCATATTTGTTAAGGTCAAGTGGGATCAGCAAAGTGTGTGAAAGTAAGAAAAACCATCTGGCTGCTAACTCCTTTCACAAACCCAAGACAATAAACTGCATAAGAAAGTAAGTAAGAAATAATACCAAGTTTTAATTCCACACAAAGGCTGATGTAAGAAAAAAGATTGATACATTTTTAAAAGATTACTTCTCTAGATAATCAAAGTACAAGAAAAACCAAACCCAGGATATAAAATTAAATAAAAATAAAACAAAAAAACCCCAACAAAAACAACAAAAAATTTCATAGATGAATACCAGACTCAAAAATACAAGTTTAAAAAATACATTACATAATATCTTAAAGAAGATAATAATGAGACATAATTTAATTTAAAAAACCAACAACTGAGGCTATCCAAAAGACTCTCAAAACATACAGTCTATTGCTATTGCCCTTTGGTTGCCCAGAGATGGAAAGTATATTGCTGAAGATACCATACACTTAAGAAACAACCCAGAGACCCCTCAGCTGGAACTAACCTGAATGTTACCTCCCTGAGGACTATACCAGAAGGGCATTATTCAAGCTTCCAAAGGAGGGAGGCAACCAACAGTCCTACCCAGCTAGGATACCTATGAACCACACCACCAACCAGCATGGAGAGGAGATAACCCTAAAGGCGCAGTCATGGCGTACATACCTTGGTGATAACCAACAGCTTGACAATTGGACTTAAGACCCATACAACAAGAGTGATACCATGTCTAGTACTGGAAACCTAGATAACTATTCAGTGCTAGTGAAGTCATGGATACTGGAGGAGCATCTCCAACACTAATTTATTAAGCCAGCATAATCCTAACAATAATCTATAAACATCTGTCCCAAAGATTGGTTTCGTCTTCACCCCTCATCAAGGAAATTTCTCTTTTCAACACATGAAGACCACTACAGAAAACCACAACCAAAATGCAGACTTGTGGAGCCCAGTCCCAGTGGATAGATTTATAAAACACTCCTATACCTAATACTCAGGGTACACTGCAAAAGAGGGTCAGAAAGATTTCAAGAGCCAGATGATCAGGGAGTTTGCTGTGAGATTGTATCTCCAGTAACATCAGAAGCTACGCCCCAAAAGCCTTACAAACATGACTGTCCAAATGTGAGCTGAACAAGGATGACACCAACGAACCTGCCAAGGTGGACAGGAAAAAGTCCCTAAGTCTTCAACCCTACACAAAGAACTACAGGAAACCGAGGAAAACTGGGAGGGGGAGGAGATATCTTCCTCAGTGGAGACAACATACCAATTTGTTGTCCAGTGCCAGTGTTGGTCAGCCCTGAAAACATGCATATAAGTAACATATGGACTGAGCAGGTTATAGTTAGGAATGTGTGAGTGTGTGTATGTGTTTGCATGCAATAACAATTAATGAAAGAAGAGGCCATAAATTAAAAAGAGAGGAAGGAGAGATCTATAGGAGGGTTTCAAGAGAGGAAAGAAAATGGAGAAATGTTGTAATTATATTATAATCTCCAAAAAAACAAAACCAAACCCTCCCAAAAGAATCAACAAAAGCCTGTTGGAAATAGAAAATGAACTCTAGCAATAAGTGCATAAATAAAGCCACCAAAGAGATAAACATGAAGTAGAACTGGAGCATCAAACCAAAGTGAGTGAAAGTTAACACCAACAGAGCGGAGCATGTAATACTTATAAGCTTGATGTCATTACATCATCACTAATAGGGTTAGTGCCAGGAACATATGGAAAAAACTGTCAATTTCTGTCAGTAATTCTGTATCTGTGGTAAAAAAAAAAAATTAATATTATTATTATGGAACTGTTCTGTGCATGTTTGAAGAAATAAATTTTTTTTTTTTTTTTTTTTTTTTTTTTTTTTTTTGGTTTTTCGAGACAGGGTTTCTCTGCGTAGCTTTGCACCTTTCCTGGAGCTCACTTGGTAGCCCAGGCTGGCCTCGAACTCACGGAGATCCGCCTGGCTCTGCCTCCCGAGTGCTGGGATTAAAGGCGTGCGCCACCACCGCCCGGCCGAAGAAATAAATTTTTAATCGTGGGAACTTATAATTCTTCATCTTCTGTATTCTAGAAACCGAGATTCCCAATGTGGAAACCGGACACAGATATAAAACAAGAAGACAGCAATGCTGCAGTCCTGAACTTGAAGTGGGATGATGGACTGTGTGTGATGATGAATGCATATGTCTCATGAGACCCAAATAACCAGGAAGCACCCCCGTGTCCAGATTGGAGCTTGATACGTCCCACTGAAAGAAACTAAGAGAAGCTGTCTAAGTAAAAATATACACAAGATGAAGTTGGTACTTTTAAATGAACTCACTTGTTTATTTTGGCACTGGGGATTGAACCGAGGCCCTTATACATACTAGGTAAGTGAGGATGCATGTGCTATCCCAGGTCTTATCTTGCAAGAAAGCAAGAAGGCTCTCAGGTACTCTATAGGTTGCCACTGGCCAGAGATGAGCCAATCTGACTTTCAGTATAGAAATATAGTGAATTAAAAAAATTATCAAACATGGTATATTCCAGGAACCCACTATAGTATAAAATAATTTACTAGTCACTTAGGAAACAAAGGGAAACAGCCAAGTGTTTTGTTGCTTTCCTTTACAGTTATACCACTGAGTAGAAGCAGATGAGAAAAATCTATGAAAATGTACCACAACCACTAAATATAAGAGAACTGAAAGGACATTTTGCAGTCATCAAAGAATAATGAAATCAAGTACTAAAATCACAAAAATCAAGTTAAGTAGACAATGAATGTGTCTTGAAAAAAGAACAGGCATGGACAGACTTTACATATATAAGAAGTTCGATTATTGGAGTTTACAAGAGGCAATAACTGGGCTTTTTTGAGAGTCAGAGAATTTTAAAAAGGAAAGTAAATAAACATCTAATGACTTAATTTTTTGCATTTACACATTTCCTATATGTTGAAAAAAAATGATTACCTGGTCACTAAGAGTACACTGTTCTGTGCAAATATCAGTGATGAGGTTCCGAGCTTGTTTGGCCATCTCATCCAGGAACATATTACAGAGGGAAAGACTGCGGTCTCCAATGTGATGGCGCTGGTAGGCAGATGGAAACAACACAGGTCACAAGAAAGTCATCTAAACAAAACACTTTAAATAAGCTTGAAAGTTCAGTTAAAGTCCTATTCTAACTAAGGGTGGGGAAGTATATGTGTATTGCTTTCTCTACTACAGAAATTAAACTACGATTATCTTTGCACAGTTCACATAAAATAATATGTATTTTGTAACATTGACAATGTAAGAAAATTATGGTTGAGCAAAATCTTCAAAGATCACTATAAAGCATAAAACTATGTTTTAGCCAGGCATGGTAGTACACATTTGTAATCCGAGCACTTGGGAAACTGAGGCAGAAGGATCACAAGACTGAGACTCTATCTCAGAAAGAAAGACAATACACTATGTATTTCATCATTCAAATTCACCAAGTTCTAAATCTAGATATTCAGTATCTAAAAATAAAGCACACAATGTACATGAGCATATTTAAGTTGGAGTTTTCTAATCTTAACTCTTTAATATTTACATCATATATAAATTCTGACATAGTTCTGTAATAAATAAGCAAGAGCTCAAGTAGATAAATAAAAGTATTAGAAATCAAGTTGGTAAAATAAATAAGATGTTTAAAATTCCTGAAATTATCTCCTTGCTTCCTGCTTCCTGGGGATGGGAAAGGAAAGAAAAACAAAACTGAACATGCATTCTTTGAACACAGCAGGGGGAATGCTGTACTTTATTTCAGGATATTATTAACACATCTGTATGTATATAGAGCTTTACCTAAATATGTAACAGACAACCTACTTATCTCTAGAGAAGTCTGTATTTGTTTAGTTCTGGTGGATTGTAGCTGTTTCGTGAGATTTTGTTAAAAATAATTAGAGCCGGGTGGTGGTGGCACACGCCTTTAATCCCAACACAGCAGAAGCAGGTGGATCTTTGAGTACAAGGCCAATGTAATCTACAGTGAATTCGAGTTCCAGGACAGCTAGGACTACACAAAGAAACCTTGTCTCGAAAAATTAAAAACTAAACAAAACAAAACAAATTGCTGACTGAAAATCTTCGAAACAGCCCATTTTACAGAATGAGTTCCAAGAGAGCCAAGGATACACAAAGAAACTGTCTCAAAAACAAACAAATAAAAAACAAAAAACTAGAATGTTTAGTATATGAAGGCATAAATTCTCCACTATACATGAGATATTTTAGAGAAATTAAGAAAAAATGTCTTTCTCTGTCTTCCATATTTATGTAACATACAGAAAAGTCTATGTTGTTGAAATAATGCTATACAACATACAAATATCTGACCCATAAAATAATCATTCTTGAATCTATCAACCTAAAATTTTATTTTAAATGACCTATTAAACTTTAATAGGAATCCACACAAAAGAGACTGTAGCCAAACATAATTCAATACTGGTCAATTTGTATGTGTACGTGTGGGTGGCAGCTCAGAGGATTTGTGGAGGGAGGTACTGAGACTTGAACCAAGAGCTAGGTACAGTTTCACTGGGTAAGCACTCTACAAATAAACTACATCTCCAACCTTCATTTGCCTTCTTTACTTTGAGACAGGATCTCATAAGTTGCCTAGCCTGGCCTTAAGCATGCAATCCCCCTGCCTCAACCTCAGAAGTAGTGAAGATTATAGGCTTGGGCCAACAGACTCTGCTGGGTCTCTTAACATATCATATAAGTCTTTCTTTCAGTTCCCAAAAAGCTTCCTGTGGCTTCATCACTATCTCTAAAGTCCTCTTCCCATGGAATACTCACAAGCTAGAGATATGCTACCTCAAGTTTCTTTTCAACATATTCTGCAGTTCTAAGAAAAGAGAGTAAACACTAAGTTACAAAGACATACATTACTCAATTTTAATGTATAGTCTTGCCATACTTATAATTTTTTTAAAGACCAGAGAAAACATCTTTTCATTCTATTTCCTTACTGGTTGTCTAACATAAGTGCATCTATTGGGAGACAGTGTAATGTTTAATTTATTTATGGTTTTCTTTTATTCTGGGGATAAACCCAGGGCCTTGTGAATACCCAGCAAGCACTCTACCACACTAAGGACTCCCAGCATCCTGACATTATGATGTATGTACACCGTAGAAAGACTCGATCACTTCACCAACTTGATTTCTGTAGTAAGAATGTTAAAATTCTCCTCTTTTTAGCCAGTTAAAATAGTCATTATTATTACTCTTTTCTGAGATGGTATCTCTAGGTAGCTCAGGTTAGTCTTGAACTTGCTATCTTGCTGCCACAGCCTCCTGAGCGCTGGGATTACCATGCCCGCTGTCACCATGCAGTGTAACAGACCACTGAAACTTAGTTCAAGCTACAACTTTCCTTTTGATACCCAGCATATTTTTTGACAGATACTTAGGATCTCCAAAATTACTGATTAGCTGTCCTCAGGAGCTGTGTGTCTATATCTGCCTCACAAGTGTTAGCAAACCTGAGTTTTGTCTAGCATATCCATGATGTTAATGAGTCAGTAATCCATAAATTCAATTTTCAAGTTCTTTCAGTGTTAAGGGGAAAAGTACAGAAATTTAATTATTAAATTCAATATTCAATTGAATTATTGAATCTATAAACAGTAATACCAGTCATATCAGTTATTTTAAAAGGTAAAAGACTGATATACATGAATGTTTATTCACCCACGTATATTCTTAGTGGCCATACCTCTATCCTACATCTTCCTGATCACTGTTTTATCATGTATTTATTCAAGTATTTTTCTGATCTACATAAAGAGGCTTAAGTGAGAACAAAAATTTAATAACTGAGTCTTTTTAAACATTCGGCTGGCTACCCACTGATCTAGCTTTCCTATGTAAACCACAGTGCTGTGCTTAAGTTACCTCTTCGGGACACAGCTCGTGTGTGCAGCTCATGAAGTGAGTGCAGAGGAGAGGAAATGCTATTGAGTATCTTGACTGAGAGGGCAACTCCAAGCACTGCTGAAACATCTTCTCAAAAGCACGGCTGTAAAAACTGTTAGGAGAGACAGCGAAGGCATCAAACAGCAACACTCACAGCTGACATGCAGACAGAAATGATACGGTGCCCAGTGGCTGGTTAATTGAAACTCAAGTGAATAAAGGTTACCAACTTTATTCCCTTAAGAATATCCCCCGCAAAGTACCCTCCACATATCAATAATTCATTCAGAGTAATACTTTCAATAACATCAAAACATTTTAAACAAAAATTTCAACAGGTAATTTGCAATATCTATAGAATATGAATACACCCATTCAAAACTCTTTATCTTCAAATTTTATCATAGCTAAGGAATTATCAATTATAAGGACCACTATTATTTTGAATATCATTGAGAAAAATATTGCTAACTAACTAATCACATGCCAACAATTTTTAAAATATGGATAAAGTTAACCAAATGTGACTGACAATTAACAAAATTTAAATATTATACAAAGTGCTTTTATCTCTAAAAACGGAGGAAGAAGTTTCTAACTATATTCTTTTACAACAGGAACCTTTCAAGGGCTAAAAAGTGAACCAAACAAAAAATGATTCATCCTCTTTCTAGGCTAGGCTTTGGGTCAGATGGTAAAAGAGGCGTCCAAATAATCTTAAAATTCTTGTAAATGTAACTAACATACAGGGCTCTAGATCCGCAAACAGAATGGACTGATGTGTTCCTTTGAGAAGCAGGCCTTCATTCCTGGTGGTTTCTTCTCCAGCCCTAGTAATAAAAGCTATCCTCACAAACTGCTAAAGTCAAAAAGCCTTTGACAATCTTCCCTATGCAACACCTTGACACCACTACTGCTATCCATTTAGATATCTCAGCACTCCAGAAGTAAGGAGGCATGTTATGGTGTTCCAATTCACCCTTCTAAAGGGCCAAGAAGCAGGAAACTGAGCCAGTACCACACAGCTCCAGAGTGACAGTACTAGAGTTTGACCATGACCTTGTTCACTCATTTATTCCAACATTTCTTAAACACTTAGTATTTTAGACCAAAATGGAGACAATAACATAACCTCCTTTTAAGGATAAGTTTCAAGGGGTTAGGGATTTAGCTCAGTGGTAGAGCGCTTGCCTAGCAAGCACAAGGCCCTGAGTTCAGTCTTCAGCTCTGGGAAAAAAAAGTTTCTGGAGAGAAGTGAATGACAGTGCTAAGTGTAATAGGAGGCCGTGCTTAACAGTGCAGGGAGCAGCCAGCGCATTCCTATGACTCAATTGTCTAACACTATAGGCATGAAGTTACCAGTTCCAATATTTGCTCTCCTTGATTTATCCACAACATATTTACACTCAGAATAAATATGTGAAAGAGCCCTTTTAACGTGAGATTCACATCTTCAAACGAAATGAAAAAAGACATTTCACACCATGAACAGTTTCTCTTGAGAGTAACTAAAACCAGACATAAAAATCTTAATTTGACAAGCTTCTTTTTGTTACAAAGGAGACAGGGCTTCTCTGTGTAGCTCTGGCTGTCCTGGAACTCACTCAGTAGACCAGGCTGGCCTTGAACTTAAGAGATCTGTCTACCTTTGCCTCCCGAGTGCTGGGATTAAAGGTGTGAGCCTCCAGCCCCCAGCTTGTTACAAAGTTTTTATAAAAGTCTATTGTCCTCTTATGGTTAAGAGTCCAATACTGAACTATCTTAAGAATTATACTAACAAAAAACAATCAAGCAGCTTCAGATAATAAACATTACCAGTTCAGATTTAAAGAATATTATGACATACCAAAATATGGAGAGATCTGATGTTTCTACCAACATTTCCACCAAGGAATCTACCATTTTTGTATGAAATATTATTGTATTCATCATCTTTCCAAGTTCTCGGTGATCTGCAAGGCTAAGTGAAGCTTTGGAGACACTAGTGTATGCCTGCAGCAGGTCAACAACAAACAACAGTAGTTTAGGGAGAGACTCAAATCTTATCGTCATAAAATGGAGGAAAAGTCCATTATTGAAAAACATTAAAACTGTACCAGTAACATCATTTTCTACAACTGTTTCAGCAGGTGGGCCTGTTTGTGGCTGAACCAAATGATCTAGTTTAATCCCTTGACTCCCAAGTGTTTCCTTTTGACCTTTATGTGTACTCTGTCCTGCACCATCTGCACACACACACAAAACTGGACAATGTAATAGACTAAACTAATTTGATGGCTTCTACAAACATATGTGAGTAAGTCAACTATTAAAATGAACTGGACAAAGAAAGTTAAGACTTAACTAACACTCTCAAGCAAGTTGTAGAGGAAGAAATCCCATGACTTGGATACCAAATCAAATATTAGAGTCCTGTCTGTGAATAACGGATACTGAAAAAGAACAACAGAGAGTAACAGGAGAGGTGCTTACAGATAAATATAGGTCACAGTGGCCAGAGTTTGAAAAAACAAAAGAAAACAAGTGGTGAAGAATGAGATTCAACCAGATTATGTATCATGATAAAAGATTCAAAACCTTGGGTGAACCACTAATGGCCAGTTCTTATTTAAGAAAGTTGACTGCATATGGAAGAAGCAGGAAACTGGGTATAGATAGACAGCAAAAACAGAGGCAGAAGCCTATTAGAAGACCATGCTGGCAATGTGTCAGACAGCTACGACGGCTTGGTCTACAGTGATAGTCACTCAAATAATTCACTGTGGGAAATGACTGTGTGTGCTAGGCAACAGAATTCCAGATGCTGATGACAGTTCTGGCTGTTAGGGGGCACTTCTTGATGAGTTTCATGTACTCCTACTATTTGTTAAATATGAAAAAGACTCAAGACCCAGACTACGGATGGATAGCAATCAAATCTGAAAGATGAGGCAATGTTTTCATGGAAACAATGAGCAGCATGTGTACTGTTAAGAGAACAGACAATTCCTCAAGCTCAGGGTCCCTTAGCTGCAACATAATCTGCTGCACACAAGGCATTCATCTGCAAAGCCCTAACCTATTCTTGTAGGACTCAGAGACAAGGAGAAAATGATGCACACATGCTGACATGCATGCTGGAAAAATCAAGTACTTGGTCTCTTGGAGTTCCATGTCCTGTCAATCAAGGAATGACAGGAAACTGAGTTCTGTTTTATAAGCAACAGAAAAATAAAATCTTTAATCTTACAATGGCAAGAGGCCTTCAGGTAGATGACATTACCATTCACTAATAACAAGTGAGAAAACACAGTTCTTTATGTTTTAGTTTTACTTTACTACAAAGAGAGAATAAGAAACAAACATGTCAATTTTCTGATGTAAATAAATACTTATATATAAAAAAAGCCTAATTGTATTTATTTGCCTTTAATCTGTTTTAAAGGAGTCAATTGTAGCCATGACTTTAAAAAAGATTTCCATTAACTAGTGCCTACGTACAAAGCTCAGAATTTGCCAGGTGGTGGTAACACACGCTTTTAATCACAGCACTTAGGAGGCACAGCCAGTCGGATCACTGTGAGTTCAAGGCCAAATTGGTCTACAGAGCAAGATCCAGGACAGGCACCAAAACTACATAGAGAAACCCAGTCTTGAAAAAAACCAAAAAAAACCCCAACAAACAAACAAACAACAACAACAACAGCAGCAGCAGCAAAGCTCAGAATGTAAATAACATTGTGAAAATAGATTCAGAAGAAACAGTGCCAAGGGAAATGGCTGAAAACATACTTCTGATAACAATGGAAGAGGTTTTAAGACACCATTTTTAAGACAGGAACAATCCAATACAAATAAAGGAAAGACAGGAAGATGACATTTGGAATGGAATTGAAGATGCCTAAGTGCCTAAGGGACTAAACTGATAAGGGAATGTGATCCTTTGGTAAGAGAAAATGACTAAAAATGCATAGATAAAGAACTCCCAAGAGTAGGAAAAAGTGAAACATGAAAATGATCTATAAAAACCAACAATCTCAGAATTAAAACTGGGTAGGACTCAGTGAGGGCGAAGCACACACCGCAACTCTCCCAAGGCTAATTCTTCCGGCTTTGCTCTACTGCCACAACTGCTGGTGTCTGCAGAACCCACCCTTCAGCTCTCCCGGCCGTGCCTGTTTATCTAACCACTTTCCTTCCTCAGCCTGGGATCAACTGTGAGCCACACAAGTACTATTATCCGTATCTCCTTCTCACAGGAAAACTTCACACTCCAGAGTGGATTTGTACTTAACTTAGTTTTGTCCTTCTCCTGCACAAGCTGCCTTCTTCATATTTAAATTCCACTCATCTTTCTAACTGTGTAAAAGTTATTACTACCAGTTGAGCTTCCTCCCTCTCGATGCTGTAATTAGCTAACAGTCATATATGTGGTATCTCTTAATTCAATCCTTTACAAACCATTAATTAATTTATTCATTTATTTAATGTGTATGGGTATTCCGCCTGCATGCATGTCTGTGCATCATTTGTATGCCGAGTGCCCAGAGGCCAGAGGAGAGCATCGAATCCCCTAGAACCAGTTACAGACAGCTGTGAGCCATCGCATGGGTGTTGGGGAATCAAACCCAGGTTCTCTGGAAAGCCAGTGCTCTTAACTGCTGTCACCTCTCCAGCCCCAGTCTTTTAGATTTTCAACTTTTTTTTTTTAATTTTGTATGCCTTGTCTCCATAGTTAGATTATAAAACTCTTAAAACAGGGTAACTTCCTCTTCTTTGTGTAATTACTAACAAAAAATGCAGTCAACTACTGCTAATTTACAGTACACAAAGATAACAGGATACTCGAGAAATAAATATGAAGTGATCCTACTGAAGTCCAAAACTATGTAGTTCTGTAGTTCAGAAATAAGTTTGGGGCAATGGATCAGGTGATGGTAGACCAGGGACTACAGACCAGTTGCCTACTTTTATAAACAAAGCTTTATTGAAATACATCACAACTCTGTTAATGTATTGTCTGCAGCTGCTCTGGTATTATAATGGAAGTGTTATTTATGCCAAGTACTGAACAGCATAGAAGCTCAAGTTTTTATCAACCTTTTTTTAAAGTTTATACCTATACTATAAATGTGTTTTGTCAAAAGAAGCTTTGCACTCTCACATTAAAATTTAAATATCTGAATCAGGATAATCAAGAGAGCTAGGGATATAAATTTATATATATCATAAAATTATAACCTAATTTATTAAAAACCTCTACATTGGCTTGTTAGAAATATATTTATACAAGTTTAATAATGTACAAAATATTTCACGTTTGTGGTTCATCACATAAAAGACATCTTTTCAGTAAGTTAATTCATAAAGTTATAAAACTATAATGTATTTAAACAAAACAGAACAATAAAAATCAAGTTATTCTTACCTGTAACCTAAACCAATCTAATCTCATCCCTCTGAAATCAAATACTTCCCCATCTTCAACTGTAAGGAAAAAAGGGAGACAAAACAAATTAACCATTTTACACGTCGTTAATTATATTTTATACTTTAAGAGCTAACACACATGGGTCAGTAGTACAGGGCTTTAATCCTAGCACCTGGGAGGCAGAGGCAGGTAGATGTCTCTGAGTTCTAGGACATTCTGGACTACACAGTGAATACCAGGACAACCAGAGTGAGATCCTGTCTCAAAAACAAAACCAAAACAAACACAAAAAGCTAAGACAATTCAATTTCTGGGTATATAACCAAAAGAAAAACAGAGTCTGAAAGTGGTATTTGTATGCCCATCATCATACCTGGGTAATTCAAAATACTCCATACTGAAAGTATCTTAAGTGTTTGCTAAAAATGAATGAATTAATAAAACATCATAGAAACCACAAAAGAATATTAGTTTTATATAGGAAAGAAATTCTACATATGGCTGAACACTGATGTTCAATGAGTCAGAGCCAGGTACAGTGGCTGACACCTGAAATCCCAGGTATTTTGGAGGCTGAGGCAGAAGGAGTATGTAAAGAGTTGGAGGATGCCTCAAGTAACATACAAAATCACCTCTCAAAGAAAAAAAAAAAAAAAAAAAGCAGCCAGCCACAAAAATACAGCTACATGGCTCCACTAAGAAGTGTTGTAGAGCAATTTACAAAAAATGCTAAGTAGAA